TACAATGAATACATTCCTTTGAAGGGGGAGTACACATCTCAGCCGTATCAATTACACTCGACGGGAGAAATTCAAACGGCTTTTGTAAAAATTGACGCGTTTTGCTGATACGATACTTTTCATCTCGAAATGTAAAAAAAGTTGCAGCAGCCACTGTTTCATTGGAATTGATGAAAATGTCTTGAAGCTTGAAGAACATACACAGTGAATGTGTTATAAATCACGCGAAAATATTCAAATAACCACGGTAAATACCATGCCTTCTTACATGTTTACGATGTGATGCGATCTCACGCGGCTTACACAGCAAAAAATTAAAGTCTACACCTGGGCGCATTCAGCCGATATTTCTGCTAGTAATTTGAGCTGCAGGCGAAATTTCGCTTATAATCTAGTCTGTATTTCGTCTAAAACTCCGTTTGCTAGGCAAAATATAGGACTGGGCGCCTCTATCAGTCGAAATTCCGCCTAAATGTGGACATTTATTTTTGACTGTGTAGAATAAATCTTACAAAATCGAAACATTGCAACTAAGATATTGAATTTTCGTTCGATTTCGATGATGAGAGTGAGGTGGTGGGGGATGGTGGTACCAAAAATGATACTGTATTTTTGAGTGATTTATGTTGTGACGTGAGTGATGAATTTTCGCAACGGCTCACTGAATAAACATTGAATCGATTCGATAATCCCAGCGATGTGACGTTCCATCCATAAATAATCGAATGCGCTATTGATAAAGTGCTAATATTTTATTTAAGATGCTTTAATGTGTGCGCATTCGATGCGCGTCTATCAATTGATGCATGTCGTTTCGGAAGCTTATTTTAAGCTTAAATCATGCTGTACCGAATGATGTAAACAACCGGTCACATCTTACACAATTAATTGTTATCCCAAAATCAAATGTATACATAAGCCGGTTTTTATTTCACAAATATTACGTACATAGAATTAGGTATGAGTTCGGATATCGGTCCATTTACGGCAAGCAACAATCGAATACATAAGCGTAAATTCAGAGCGAATGCAACAAATATGCGCGGTTATGTAGCGGAATCATCATCATCTGCGTCGTTTTATGTACAAAGTTTTTGGCAGGGGAAGTTCCATGTAAAAGCTTATGTGATGAGCACAGAGCGTAACATCTCTCGGAGCGAACGAAATTTCAAAGAGAAAAAGAGAGCTAATCTTTTTTCCTGTTTTGGATGGGAAAGCTTGTGATCGAAAAACCCACCAGTCATTTTACGATTTTCATTAATTTCTTTTTCTGCAACCGTGCTGTAATCAGTTTGCCAGCGTTTCACAACGACGTAGTCTCGTGTTCCATCGGCACAAGAATTTTATCCATTTGGATAACCTTGGTGATGCTATGCACAGCCGTAGGCTGTTGACGGCTACGATGTATTTGATAATGATGAACGTGACTAAAAATAGAATGTGATTTGGTCATGAACTGCAGTCGACTCAAATGAATAAGACATATTCTGGGGATTATTATCGAGCAGCACACAAGACCACCGCCGAGCGTGGTGGTGAGATAGTGGTTTGTGTGAGGCATGTATCGAAATAGCACGACCATTGCTTGTGTACTCCACTGACACACTCTGGAACGATGTGATTTTGATTTACACCACATTCTTTTTTCGCTTCCATTCGTGTGCGCGACAGAAAGTAAACAGAAAATGGGACGTTTGTGGATTCGATTTTACACATACAACACTATCATTTTAAGTCCAAAGCGACCATTCTTTGCTACTTTTTTTGCTCTTCTTCCCATAACACGCTTGCCTCCATTTTTTATGATTAGCTTTTTTTCTTCTCTATAGCGTTCGTGACGGTTCGGGTTTTTTTTTGCTTTTATACTTTTTCCGCTCTCTTGCCTCGGCCAAAGAAAGTTTCCTGCGAAAATTCCATTGCGATGAAAGGGAATTTAAATCACATATATTGAGCTCAATTTAAACCAGGAAGCACAATTTTTTATCATGAGCTTTATTTTAAATCATAAAAAGTGTTCTATTGATTGATTTGCCAGTCCTTCGATGCTATGTTTTTATGGCGTCCACTTAATGAAAATGATACCTTTTTTGTTCGGAGTTTTTTTTATATTCAGAATCACATACACATTTCATATGTATGTGTCGTATACCTCGATCGATGTGATTTCGCTGTACGTTCATATGCAAGGAAGTAACAACACAGAAAAAAGGGTAATATAATTCGGCCAGTTCCATGGGATTGCAAAAGATGTGTGAAATCCCCCAAAGACATACGGCAAAAATGTGCTTTGCATTTCATCACATCAACCAAAAATGTTTGAGCAATTTTTGTAACATTCGATGAACAAGATACGAATTTACTCAGGTGAAATTCACTCGAGCATATCTTATAAGTATTTTTTTTTCTACTCCTCTTCCTCTCTCTCTCTCTCGCTCTCATGGGTGAACATGAACGAACGCGACCGTTTAAATTTTAATATTTTCAAATTACAACGTTACCACGGATGAGTACATCTGAATTTCATTAGTTTCACATTTCGACGATGCTTCAAGCCATTCCGAAATTGCGATTCCTTAAAAAAGTATAACTTGTTTCTTTCATATTCATGATAAGGAGATTCACTTGTTGGCGAACAATAAATGAGGAAAACCAGTGGATTGCATTCTACGGGAGAGACACGAGACTTAAATGAGTAAAATTAGAACATTATTCAACGATAATAGGAAAAATAGAAGAAATTAGTGAGTTTTGTTTGTCAATGTTAACGCTTATGGACATATTGTTTATTGTTTACAAAATAGTCCCGTTAGGTCTTCCATAAGCGTTGCATTGACAGTGTAATACGCTCTGCAAGCGATTTTACTAGAAATAATGGCACAATATTAGCACTTTTGCACAAAAACTAGAAAAACTAGAGGACATAAAGCAAAAAATATATAAAATTGGGTGTAACTAGACTCTAATAGAATTCGTGTCTTGCCCCTAGATTGCATTTCATCAGGCGAAAGGAAACAAATCTTGTTCCCACTGCGAAATTAAAGAAAAACTCAAAGTAAAAAAGCAAACAGATTAAAAAAAAACTGTGGGTTGAAATTGTATGGCGTATATTTAATCAAATCGTTGAACGTCAAACGCAAGAAGTGGTCAGAAGAAAGCGAATGAAAAAAAAACTTTGAATCAGTGAACGGAATATAAATGAAGCGATTGACTACTAAAACGCCATGCAAAATTATGATTCGCACCCTTTTCGCAAATCCGGTTATAACTTATTGATGCCCCTGCCATGGCAAATGACAGGTATTGGATTATTTAATAAGTGCAGAGAGTAAGAGACTCGTCGCTCAGGCTGTATTCAGTCTATTGCGAGGCGCCCGCTTTTTTCGGGTGGATTCTTTGCACACCATTCGTCGATTGTGGAGGGCTCATTGGTTTGTGATGTGCCTTTTACCTGCCAGATACGGGGCTCGGCTCGGGCTACACCATGTCACTAGTGGGCCACATCACATTTAACATTTGGCACGCTCTGTATCCAATCCATAGAGCCAATTTTTCTCTTGAGTTTTTCGATGGGGGACATGCATCTGATACTGATATACCGATGTATTCACCAATATCAGGCAACAACCTTTAGCGGCGATTGCAACCAATACTGAGTATTGGAGATAACAACCTAGCATATAGGCGCCCCATCTTTATGTGCATTATTTGTACTCATCTTCTGTATATAACATGCACGGGATCCCACGGCTTAAAGTGCCTCCCGGACCACTCCACAGGCATCATGGGTCGTAGTTTCTCAATTCAAAATCCCATTGATGGCACCAATGACATTTTGAAGAGAAAAGATTTTCGACCACTATGCGATTCGAACCCGTATCCTCCACGCTTGCAACGCTAGCACGCTAACCAATACGCTACAGCTGGGTTTTAAATGACAGGTAATATCCTTACCAGTTAACTTGTTTTTTTTCTCTCGTTCACATTCTTTCCTCGTCAAAGCAGTTTTCGCAGTTAAGATTTTTTTTCTTGCAATTTCCCAGATTCAATTTGTGTTGAACGGATTAGACTTTCAATTTTGCCTCAAAACTTTTAACAAAGAATCATCATTAACTTTCCCCTTTAAATTGGCAGAAGAATCGAGAAAAAATGCCATTTTCACTAATCAATTCCAGGAATTCGATGAAATTGTTAGTCATATTGAAAATCGAAACTCGTTTTTACCTGGTGTTTATTTTTTCATGGGCTTACAAAGTTCGTTTTTTGTTGTACCATGTTTTCGTTTTCCGTCTATAGCCAGGAACAACGAGTGGCGTATGTAAACATGCTTGATAAATACATAAACATCCACTTTTGACCCTGTTGCGTGCTTCACAACCGTTTTATATACAAAACCAGCAATTTCTCTCTCTTCCTCCGCTCGCTCTTTTGTCAACAAAAATACCATTTGCTCTCATTTGCTCACGTGTCGCACACAGACGCAAGTGACAGCGGTGCGCGCGCGAGCGCTCGTATACATACGTACACGAAACGGACGTGTTGCTTGTTTTGTTTCTCTATCAGTTCACACGCGTGTTCTGGTTGTGCTCAGAAGGGCTGCGTGTGCAATTCGATAATATAACAAGTGTAATCGCCTGTTGAAGCTCTGCACATAGCACATGTTCCATCCATCCGTTACATACACACAAGTGGAGAGAGCGACTCCGAACCGAAGAGAAACAAAGAGAATCGGACCAAAAAGAGAGCGAGCAATAATAAAGCGGTTCGTTGTGTGTGTCTATGTATTGTGGATAGTATTATTCGTGTGTATTACTGCTTGTTGCATCGCAATGAATGCTATTCATCGATTTACACACGAAATTCCGTTGGCAAGAATATGCGTCACATTTACCTCTATGTGAATTCTACGTGCTCACGACACACACACACACACATACGCGCGCACCAACTTCGAGCCATCTCACATACATAGCGCTCGATATACTGTGCTGTGTATTATACACGGTGTGTTGTTTGTGCCATGGCTGCCCCAAGCAGAATCGAATCAAACAGCACAGAAAATGTACAAAAATTTATCAACACTCAGCCAAACAAACCAGTCTAAAATGTGTAGTCGTTGCTGTTAGTACACATCGACACATCGTTCCTCATATAATTTTTGTTTCTATTCATCACTGTGATTTTGATCTAAAGCATTCTGTAAGTGCGAACAGAGAGCAACCTGGTGAATGTGAGGTTGCATTTCGTATCGTAAATTCGTGTATTTTGATTATCCGTGTGAATAAGCAAATGTTTTTTTTTCTGGAATTTATTTGACATCAATTGGCGACTTGTGGCTTCGTTTTATGTGTATCTCTTGCATTGTACCCACTTTGTGTGTATGTGTGTTTGTTTCAGTTTGAATACGATTCGAATGATTTTGCCAATGATATTTGGTTAGATTTCGTTTGCGCACGAATCAAATGAATAAATAATGCGATTCGCCGAATAGTTTCAGTTCAGAGGCATTCAATTCTTATACATGTTCATGTTTTGGTTCACATTACCTGATTAATAGAAAAAGAATCAACTCGGAAATATTTCCTGAAATTCGATTGGCATTTTGGAATCCTGTGTCGCGTCGTCTGTTGGTGAAGAGGTGTTGGAACACACTTTAATCAATCGGACGTGAAGGTCGATGGAATCAACTGCATTTTAGCTGTATTTTTTTTACTTCTACGAATTTCCTCGTTCATAAGAACGGTGAAATATTCCATGAATATTTCGAAATTGTGCGTATTTTTCGTTCGCTTCGTGATACAAGTAAAAATGAAACGGTTTTCTTCGCACTTCGATTCAATTCAGTCGTTTCAATCCATTTTAAAAATTAAGGTGTGAATTTATTCCAATTCACCAGCCAACAAGCATGAATGAACGAATGAAATGACGCCGAAAACGGACGATGAAATATTAAGTATGAAGAAGAGCCAAATGAAACGCGAGACCAAGTTTCACGTTTGTGAAGTGAATGATGAATAATAAAAGAAAAACATGAGCATCAAAGTCGATTTGGCTGTCGGAATGAAATGAAAAAAATATTTTGTGATACCGATGACCGATGCGTTCTGAGAATGCTGCTGCAGTGTAGTATGAGAGTTTCTCCCGAAGTGCTTCTTATTTTCTTGTTGGATGAGCTGTTTACTATTTTATAACAGAGAAAAACGAAATGCTTCACGTAACAAAGGCAAATATTTATCACTTAATGACCATGCAAAGTGCCAGTGATCCGTTTCCTTTTCACATTCGAACACAGCAATTCCATTGTTTGGAGACACAATGTGTATCAGGTTTGTCGAGCGAAACTCAACGATACTTTTAATTCCGTCGCCGTCGTCGTCGTCATCGTCATTGTGGACGCTGATTTTTTTTTCTACGTGCCTTTTTCTCTATCACAATCTTATGACACAAATACAGTAACAAAATGAAGAAGCAGAGAAAATAATAAAAAGAAATAAACCCATGTTCTCGAGCTATAAAATGAAGATTGCTTTTTAAAGCAGTCTCTCCGGTGTATTGTTGTTACGCGAGACTCTCATCACATACATATCATGGTCCGGCTGCTCAAACTCGCCTCGCTGAGAGGAAATCGTGATGGTTGTTGGTCCATTGTGAATAAAACATGCAAGTTGCTGTTCGTAAGCAACGAAAAAAAAACACCAACCAAACCAAACCAAACCGAACCTTAAACGCAATGCAATGCAATGCGTTGTGTGTTGGGCACTCCGCTGTTTAGTATGAGTGTATGTGTGTGCGAGAGTTGTGATTTTTTATCGTCTCGTCTCTCACTTAACCATCTCTTTATTATGTTCGTAAGTTTATTTTTTTTTTTCGTTGTGCCTTCATGTTAAATTCAATAGGTGCTCGATGCATTCTGTCATCCTTTCTGGCTGCTTCATCGTTTTTTATGCGCACGTATTGGTGTTAAGAATGCGAAGTTGGTTCGATGCACCAACAAACAAAAAACATTGCTGTGTAAAGGAATGGACAAACCAGCCGTACAAAACAGGAATAAATGTGATTGAATTTCTCTATTCCAAGATGCACAAGACAATTTTTGTCTGGTTTGTTGTTCCTTGTGCAAACAAAGACTTGAAACGACTGGTTTATTACCCTGTTTTTTTCTCTACTCTGTTGTTATTGCAAAGATGAACAACACTCGAAGCCATCGGTCGCCTTTGAATGAAAACGAAAGAAGAATGTGAAACCCTAACAAATTCTCCTCTCGTCAAATACAAATATTTGCTTAAACTGTGTCTTTTGCCGCGAACGATACTATAAATAGAAAATCTTCTTGAATAAAAAAAAAATAGAATAAAAACGATTGAGCGTTAAAAAAATAGTTTTATTATGCTCAACATAGAGCCCATACTCAATGCAGACAATTACCTGACAAATATTTGCCGTTAGATAATGAGCTCAATCTGTATTTTCTCGCGTCTCCCGATTGTATATTCATAATTATTTGTGTTTTATTTAAATTTAATGATCGTAACTTGCATCAGAACCGGTGTATTCAACTCAAAGAATCTATTAAATTAGTGAATAAAAAAAAAGATGAAGATAAAATCAAAGATTTGAAAAGAAAAGAGAAAAAAATTCAGTGGAAAAGATACTTTTGAAAGAAGAATAGAAGAATCTCATCATTGTGACACATTTGCATTCAAACTCGACTAATTCATCACCAGCAAAAAAAAAGGTTTGTTCACTGTTGTGTTGTTTGAAAGTAGCTGAAACCGAAAATCATTCGCATTTTTTGTCATTCTTATTCGCATTGCCGTTGTGGGTCCGTGAAATAGTGTGAAAAATTGTAAATAATTAGTCGAATAAATTTTGATGTGAACAACTTAAAAGCTTTTACGGCAAAGAGAAAAAATATCACGTAAACGCCAGAACATCTGGTTTATCCATCAATTTGTTGTTATGAAAACAATCATTCGCTGTAAAACTGACAACTACTTGACTAGTTTCATCGTTTTATCATTATTATTTGTTGGTAATGACTTTCGAATGGTTCTTTTTTGTCTATGTATATGTGGAAAAACTCGTTCAGTCTCATGAAAACACTTTTCAAATTAATATTGGTTTTTAATTACCGGGTTTCGGTGTAAATAAGATATTCAAACGGTCTGTCGGTCGGCCGGTTTGCTTCATACCTGGCTACTTTTCCAAGTATACCTCAAAACTTTGTTTAGAATAAAAAATTTTGCAAATATAAAAGGTTCACTTTGCCAATGGCAAAGACCGCTCTGATAATCATAGAGGGGTATCCAGGGCTTTAGAACAACACTCCAATCATGGTTGCATTGTGTATGTGTGTTATGGAATTTTGTAAGCCATTTGTTTAACTTTAATTTTTTGCTGCTGTTGTTGTTATCAATATGTAATTAAATCTGGGTTGTATGGTATGGCATGCGGTGTGCACGTTTAAAAAACAAACGCCCGAAACACTCAAACAACACTGCTGTCGAGTTATTGTATGCGATCCAATTTCTAAAGTATGCATTATAATGTGTAATCATGTGATATGGATTTGCTTTAATAATTGTATAAATGAATGAGTGTATTATGACTGACGATAGGATATACTCACAGCCGGCCGTCACCGTAGTACTACACACATTTCTGTGTGTGCACCGGTGCTTTGTGTGTATAGTATTGTGTGTGTGTTTCCAGTTGACAGTTTACACTCTGGCAGATTGAAACAGTCAAGATTAATACAATGACACAAAACAAAGTGCGGCAAGTGAATAGAGCAAAAAAAAAGAGGCGAGATATTCGAACGCAAACAATACCGCCGCTTTGGCGTTATACACACGTACAAGTGCTTATCTGAAATCTTCCATCACTTGCCACCACGTTCTAGCATTCAATATTGTCACTTGTCAAATATTTATTTAGTTTTAGCCAAACCGAACCAAGCGCTTATTACATCACCTTATACCGTTAGCTCTTTTTTTCTTCTTCTTTAAATCGGTTCTCTTCTTCTTGCATTGTCTCCATTCTGACGAGTTTTTGGTGTTTTATCAACGTGTTATTTTTATATTTTTTTATCGTTTCTATCATATTTTTTTATCTTTTGTCTGGATAGTAGGCAAACATTTGAATGACGGGACCAATCGCATTTTCATTATTTTTATTCATTCGAATTAGAAAATAAAATCATGTGAACGCGAGAAGTGAAATGAAAGGAAAAAGAAACAAACTGTGACAGAATTTTAATTCCCTTCATCTGTTTAGTCTTTTCTCTCTTTCGAAAGAGACGAACTTGAGAGCAACACTTGAATAATCTGCCGTCTGACACGACAAACACTCAGCTATCAAAATATGCTGTGTGCGAGTACCGCAAAGCACAATTGATCAAATCCAAAACAATGTGCTAACACCATGAAAATCAACCAAGAAAAAATTGCCATGGCATTTTTCATTGGGTTTTCCTTTTTGCTTTACTTCGAACTGCGATTTATTCGAATTTCCATTACTTTGTGTTTGCAAAATGATAACGACGATGATGATGGTGGATGGTGGATGGTGGATGGTGGAAAAAATGCAAAACCATTTGGAAAATAGATTGGTGTGAATTTGATTGTTTGGATAGCTTATATCATTGATTGACATAACAACACACATACTTCTCTCTGTCATATCGTTCTGTAATTTTTGCCAGTGTCAAATTCTCTCTTTATTTCAATGGATTTCAAAAAGAATGAAAGAGAGAGAGGGAGAGAGAGAGAGAGGGATAAAATTTCGCGTCTTTCGATCGATTCACATTTCACAAGCGTTACGAAATTCAATTTGTTAAATGTGCGCAAATCGTCTCATATTTTGGATGACGAGCAAGTGTATTTGCATTTCACATAAACATTTTTCATTCGATGCGTAACAAAAGCGAATCTGTCAAATGTGATGGCTTGCGCTTGCTGGCGTATCGAAGCGAAGCCACGTAGAATAATAATTCATTTCATTTTTTTTCCTTCGTTACTTTTCGTACGAAATTCATTCGTTGGCCTGCCACTCTAGCAGAATCGAATTTGTTATTCTTTTATATTAAAATAATGCTGTGTTCCATCGTCAAAATAATAACGATTTGAACACCATCTTCGCATCAAAAAATCTCCTACCAGCGGGAGAGTATTTTCATTATTGTAAATACGGTTACATCACAGGTCGACTGAAAATCGATTGCCAAAATATACCTCCCGCATACATTTTCCTTTCCGGCAACACATCGAGAGCGAAAAAAACGCGACCCGTACTCTATTTATTCTGCATATATGGAATTATTGGCCGATATCTCACATTAAAATCGGAGCACCATTTTACAAAAGGGTATTCTCTGTGTGTGCACAGCAAAGGCACTACCGCACAGGCCAATTTATTCATTGCTGGAATTCCCACCGTCAATTTCTCACTCTCGTATACACAACATTTTATATCAACCATCCCCGAGCGATGGAATGAGTCAAATGAGCTAATTAAATATTTATTTCTATTTATTATAAAGAAGCAAACACATATATAAAAATATCGTATGGCGAATATTATTCTCATTATACATATATTATGGAGAAGGAGGGAAATAAAACATTTCATTTGCATTAGAAACTCCGGCTGCGAGCAGGTGAATGAAGAAGTAAATGTCGCTTTCTGCCGCGTCACGACAACGATATTTATATTTTCATATTTCCATATTTCAATTAGTAGGTACATTCAATTAAATACGATTTTGAAATCACTTTGGTTGGTTGGCTTTCTACACAGAACTCGGTTGACATCTGCGTGCATGACGTGTAATTTTGTTGATGTATGCGTATGGATGTTTGTGTGTACGTTTCAGGAGACAGGCACGAATGTCATGTGTACACCTTGTGCCGAGCGCAAATCAAAGGCAATGATAAATCAGTCGAGTGTTTTTGTTGGCAATATTAAATGAAATGAAAGTGCTTACGATGTAATGCAATATTACTGCCACTTGTCTTACATTTCTAGTGCTGAATTAGCACGGCCGTATTCATATTAAAACAGATATACGACTCAAATGGAGAAAGAGCGACAGGGCAGAGGGAGAGAGAGACAGAGGTAGAAAGAGATGGAATGAGAGAGTGAGAATTTAAAAACAAATTGCCGAGTAATGAAAATCGTCTCCGTCTCCGTCTCCGAGCTGTATACATGAGTAAATACAGCGTTTGTCGTTGCCATGAAATTGAAGACAAACGAATGCAAAGCTGATTGCAAAGTTTCAATTTCAAAATCAAAAATTAATTCTGTCTCCAGTAAGCTGTAACTCGTCAAAACTAATTAGCCGTTTTGAGTGCATGTTTTTGAAATGGCACATGTTTTTCGGTGAATGGTACATGTGCGCTGGTGGAAATGATATTGTTTGCATTACTGCAAAATTCAAATGAATCACAATATTTTGATGAGGTTTTAGATTTACTTTGGCCCAAAAAGTTGCCAGCATTTTGAAATGAATAACTTTTTCATATGTACATGCCACACAGTGGGATATTCACTCACAGATTTTTTTTTTCTTTGCAAATGAATGGTTTTTCTTTACTCTTCTCGATTATTCCATCGAAAAACGGCAAGGCACACATTTTTTTGCTCGTTTCTGTTACTGACTCAATATGATTTGGATTACGTCGTAAATTGATAAGAGTTTGATAATCTTATCATTTGGCATAACAGTTCGATATGCATTTCACTCTCGTTAAACGCCACATCGATCGATTCTCGGACTAAATATGAACGAATGGAATGCAAAGAAGGAACAAAAGTCACCAAAATGAGCAGAACAAAACATGTTAAACATTGTACACCATTCATTATATTGAAAATATGAAAAGAAAACTTTTTATGCGGGCGCAAAAAGTAATTTTTTTTCAATTCAATCAAAAATGAACAAATTGTTAAAATATGAACTGCAACAAAGTGCTACAATGAATGGATAATTAATTCCCTTTAAAATTGTATACCAAATTGAATGCAGCACACTGCAATAACTTTTAATGAGAACACATCATGGCAAAAATGGCATACACATTCATAATTCACTGATCCACAAAACCAAATTGGATTGATGCCACTCTAGCATTGTTGGCTGATGTTCATATCAACATGCAGATGTTGATAAATTATTCCAGTTCTATTCATTATTTCAAGTCAGTTTCGGATGCGTGTGATTTATTTAGCCACTAATACAAACACGATGAATATATGCTGATTCTGTGGTAAACATTTTTTTCTGAGTGAAAACAGAAAGTTTTGATGATAACTTTGATGGCATTCGTTGTTAGTGCAAATGAATTGCTACAATCAATTTCATCAACAGAGAAACCACCCACCCAAACATGAAAAACGCATTGCAAGGAATTTTATGAATTTCGTGTCATTTGTTGCAATATGCTGGTAATCATTTTCATTACTGTCGTCGTCCTCGACTCGAGTTAGAAAAAAAAAACAGTCCTGGCGTCAAAGGGAATGAAAAAAAAACGCCAAAAATGCTTCCCATAGTGCTGCTATTAATTGTCTGCACACCACCGGATTGGTGACGGTTCGTCAAAAGCATAAAGAAAGTATAATGTGCAGAATTAATGACTGCGCGCTTGACAAACTTTTCGCGTTATTCCATGTGAAATATGCTCTCAATCTCCCACCCTCTCTCTCTCTCTCACGCCCCTATTTCCTCTCACCATTTTT